GTTTCTGCCTTTGATCGACTTTTGACTGATCAGCTCTAGAAAAAGAGAAATTACGAAAACTTTTTCCTTAGTTTTCGTGCCACTTACACCGGTGTTCTTTCTTTAATTTTTATAATTTTATTTCTTTCGTCAATTTGTTGTTTATCTTTATCCGAATTTGGTTCTGCTAGCTTCTGATGTCTATTTGTCGTTGTTGTCGAAGACACATCCTTATTCGTCGTTTTCAAATTTAATTTCTTTTCTAATTGTTCCAGTAAACTCTTTAATGGCTCTGAATATTTACATCCCAAACATTTTGTATTCACATAGCATTGAGTCAAACATAGAAGACGCTCTTCATTATAATCATTCCAATGTGTTTCGATAAATAATTTACGATACATCCATTGCTGATCATTTTCAGTTGGTAAACGAAAACGTTCGACGTTTGTTAACGGCTCCGCAGGTGGAACAGGTGCTGTATCTATCGTAATCGAATCGGTGTCATCTGTCGTAGTCATTTTTTTGTTTCTCATAAAAGAATGAATCTAAGAACATAAAATCAGCTAGCATCGCGAATAGGGGTTCTGTATGTGTTCACAACTAAATGTCTCTTCCAAGTAGTGTGAAAAAACTGTCTTTTTAATGACGTTTCGCCGAAAAAAACTTTCAATTATTCGATGGATGCGCACTCTTCCGATATTTATGGCCGTGATGTCGGCTATAGATACACACTTCGCAGTTTTTGGCGGCTAGACAGTCAGACAATAAAAGATCACATACTGGCGACGAAAAGAAGAATCTATACTTTGCGGTTCCACCGTCGTACATCACCTTTAAATGATATATCTTCAATCCTCGCTACCGTACTACTTATCATAAAACAATAATAATACAATAATCGCATTTAGAGATAAGCGCGAAAATCAGGTATGCCTATGCGATTTGTTAACTTTTACACCAATCTTCTTTCTAATTAGTTTTGCTGTTGAAGTGAATTTGACATAGGGGCGGCACTTCCTCTTTCCTACCTCTTTTTTTTTATTAACAAAGAAAAGTTTTTCGTTTTCTTTACAATAAAAAGGAATAAAAACATAATACGTATCTTTTCTTTCCTAAGAAAAGGAAGGTGGCACCTTTGTCTTTTCCAAAAAAACGAAAAGCGATAACTTTTCTTTTTGCAAGAAAAAGACAGCTGTCTTTTCAAACATCATGTCAAACAATAAATATCATATAGATTATAACCGTCATTTCTATTAAAGAAATAAAA